TATCCAGAATTTATTAAATACTTGAGCACCACAACAAGATAAAGGTAAATAATCCAATAGAAAAATGGGCACAGGATATGAACAGGCACTTCACCGAAGATGACATTCAGTTGGCTAACAAGCATTATTTCTTTATAGCCTTGGAAAGCTAATGAAGGGCAATGAGGGGTCAGAATCAACTCCACAGTAATGAGTTTAGCATGCTTTTCCAATTTGTTTACAAATGTAAAAGCCATGATTATCACGCCACATCCAATGTAATCTGATCTTAGTCTTACGTTCCTGAGAGATAACACCATATAATCACAATAAATATAATGAACAGAGAGGCCCAATGACAAAACTCTGCAGCTATAAAGCTTTTCTGAAATGGACAGTGACCCTTAAATTAAGATCTGCCTCAGATCTACCAAGTTGAGTTGTTCTATCATCTACAAATGCACTAAGACTAGGTATTAGGATGAAGAAAATGATTAATATGTTAAATACTATTAAAAGAAGATGTATACAACCTACAGTACACCTGCAGGTTTTCACTGCCTAGCTCTTATGAACTCAAATTCTCTTATGATAATATCTGTTCTATTTTTCCAATATTCAATTGTTTTTCCCCTAAAGAAAAATATGGAAACAAAATAAAAAGCATTATTGTTTTCAAGTTTCTATAAATTTCATAGCAGTGCTACTAGGAAGTAATGCTGATAAGATCATGGCAAGTTTAAAGATATGCAAGCTGAGGCTTGAAGATTTAAAAAATAAATAAATAAATGAATACTTCCCCAAGAGCATATAATTAATAAGGAGAATCAAGGCTGGGATCAGAACTCAAATAATGTCTGATTTTTATTTTGATGCCCTTTCCAAAACAGCAGTTCTTGTTTTTGTCAGAAGTTCAAGTTCTACCATCTGTTCAGTTATAGAAAGGCCAAGCCATTCCTTTCCTACCTCAAATGTATCACTTACAAAGGCACATTTGTTGCTCTCAGAATTTCTTGCAAACTGCAGCTCAGTCTTCATTAAGAGAATTTTGGCAGACTGGTTTCATTTACAAAACCTCCTTATATAAAACTCGAAAATGCCTTATAATGCCTACAAAAATATGCATGACTGACTATTTGACCTTGTGGGATACAGACTGAATGAACAATGCCTCTGATTCTGAGAAGCAAACCAACAATGCCTTCACTTGTGATTCTGACAATCAGTCCTGGGATTTCAGTTGTTTTGGAATTTTTAACAAAAAGCATTTAAAATAGTTTGTGGGTCATATTGATAGAAAAAAAGAGCTTCTGCGTTAACTCAAAAAATTAACCAACTAAAGTACCTATAGACTCAATGCTTCTAACAACAACCACATAATCTTCCTTAACATGCACCAAGGGATCAGCTAAGACAAAACTGAAGACGAGCTCTGGTGGCCTGTTGGCAAGACGCTGCACTGAGATCCTGAAGGCATGTGGTTCGAATCCACTAGTTGCTCCATGGGAGGAGGTGCAATCTCCTCCTGTGCCAGTCAGATCCGATTCGATGGCACACAAGTTAAACACGCACACATGCACACACAAACCACAAGACTGAAGAAAAGACACTTTTCAAATGTTAATGTTACATGCCAAACTTAAAAGGAAAAAAATCAATAAAACCACAAGCAACAAACTCACCCTGTGGAATCATTTCTGGCTCCTAGTAACCCCATGTGTGCAAAACAGAATTGTGATCCACAGGACTTTGAATGGCTGATCTTTCGCAAGAAAAGATCAGGAGGCCCTTCTTTGAAGGGCTCTCAGTAGAAATGAACCATCAACCTCTTGGTTAACAGTCAAGCAAGATGACAAATTGCAACACTGAGTGATTCCCCACAAGCAATAACAAGATACTCAAAACTCTAACAACTAGAAAGATCTATACAGTCAAAAAATAATTCCCAAAATATAACTAGAAAACAGTGGCCAAATTTGTGTTTAGTCTAATCAATGTTAGCCAACATAAGTACTGAAAAAATATTCAGGTCATACAATTTCCTTGGCTCATCTATAATTCTGGTTGTGACCATTTAACTAGCTTTATAGTTGTTGCTGCTGATTGTCTTTGAGTCAAGTACAACTCATAGCGAACCTATGAACAAAAGGCCTGAAGCCCCTCTACAACTACCAACATATAACAAAGTTCATAGAGTTTCCGGAGGCAGGTTAAGTCACTCTAAAAGGAAATATACTATCAAAAGTCACAAGATATCTAAGAATGGCCTCTAGTAAAGAAAAGAAAAGAAAAGCAAAACAAACTTTAAAGAAACTCATTATACTCAATGATTTTCTGAAATTTCATTATTATTAATTATTATTATCCTCAGAAAAATTTTTAAAAGGTTTAAAAAATAAGATCTGTTCTATATAAATATGATGGCAGAAATTTTAAAAACGCAATCTAAGCTGAAAAGTAAAGTTGAACCTGTCTCCTGAGGAGGAAGTGAAGGATAATAGGAAAAGTAGTATTTTAAATTAAGGAATCTATGTCAGAGTCAACAGACAACCAGGCATTCTAAAAGTTAAAATAGCAAAGTGGCTCTCAAAGTATAGGACAGGTAGACAAGTAGACCCTCTACAGCCATTTAGGAAGGGGGGTTTGTGAGATCAGAACTATTTCCCTAGTACCCAAACGTTGGCCTTTTTCATGGAGCTGACATCTGCCCTGATAACACAATGACAATGGTAGATAAACTGCTCGTGTCTAATAAATCAAAACAGTGGCATCAAACTGCATTAGTGTTCTGCACCGCCACATATTTGGTGCTAGTTTCACTTGTGCATGTCCTTTAAGATGCAGTAACACTATTAATTTTATTCCATTTCAGCCCCTGAACATCTTCCATTTCAATATTCTGTACTATGAAATAAGTTTGCTTGAAATGAAGTGTGATGGTTGTCTGGAGGAAAATCACTTGTGTGGCTAAGGTGAGAGCTAAACTATTACCATTATGCATTTGTAGGACATCATCTGTATGAAAAAGGAGACTGGCCAACTCTTTATGTGGCAAGTCTTTTCTCAAAGAACCAGGGAACCGTCATTTCAAAGGGAAATGACTGATAATGTGCCTTGTCCATGAAAAATTGGAACTTTTCAAGAAAAAAATAGAAATTTAAAGATTCAAGAAGAAAAAAAATCAGAATTCTGGAAATTTGGTCAATGTGACCTTGATAACTTTCTAATACTTAAAAATGTTTTCTACTGAGATGGGTGCTGATATTAAAAATGAGGGGAGTTTGTTTTAAAATCCTAATAACAAAATATGCCACTATTTAGACGATGAAAACAATTCGTAAACCAATAAGTATTTCCATCAATGCATATTATGAAGGCAAAGAATAAATAAAAGATCAGTCTTTAGTGAAGACAAATCAAGAGGCTTAACTAAAGCACATTACAAAAAGTTCACTGATGTTATTTCAAATTCCACACCAGAACTAACTTTTAAGAAGTAACATTTTTTTGAGCTTTGATGTAGTATTAAAAAAAAAATAGCCACCATTTTCTGAAAAGGTTATTAAAATACCCCCCCCCCTCTTCGCTAAAAGATTTATGGTTCGAATCTACCAGGCACTCTAAGGGAGAAAGGTGAACAGTTCCCTTAAGAGTTATGGCTTCAGAACCTGATGGAGGACTGCAATAATCTGGAACTGACCCAACGGCACATAACTGTGAAGTCAAGTTATCTTCAAATTAATCAACCAAAACACCACAATCCAAAAGACTGACTACAGGAACAGAGACAAGAATACAGATACTACACAGATTCACAAAAATGCAGAAGAAATTCACTCTTAAGTCTCCCCTTGTTTTGAAAAGGTTATATTTTAAGGAAAAATAAGCTCTTTGTTAATATGTTATTTTTTAATGAATTAACAATCATTTTTGGGAGTTCTTAGTTTTAACTGCCAGTAGGGTAAATAGCAGTAGTTAGAACTTACAAAAGTTACAACCTACATAAAAAGAAAACTCTCTGAAGTTCTCAGATGAAAAGGTCTGTAATAGAGAATACAGAAAATACTATTTTAATAAACTTCATGTGCTACAAAAATATTCTTCGACCTAAACGACACAAATGGCTAGATTTCATTCTAAACTATGTTGGGTTAAATGCAATGAAAGGAAGAGTTGAGTGGGAGAATGGGAGTTGAGGGCAAAGTACTTGTAAGAAAATCTCAAGAAAGGTGTAAGACAGTAATACTGAGGTCGATGTAAAAAAAGTCCCATGTTCCATCTTCCATACTAGGAAGTTAAAGAATAAAGTCTAAAACTGCAAAAAGAAGAAAGAACAATATAAACATTATTTTAGAAATTCCAAGGAAAGTACTGAGGTCAAGTTGGTTGGGTTTTTTGTTGTTTTTTTTTTAAAGGGATTCTTTTTAAAGAGCCTCCAGAGGATGAGAATAGACTAGGGAGGCAGAGAGAAGAGGACATTGTTATTTTTTATTATGAATCCCAAAGCACTTTTCAGCTATGGTCATGCATTATCTTGATAAAATTAAACATTCAAAAAGCCAAGCATTACAAGCCTCAATTTGTTAATTTAATAAAAATCACAAGTTTAGTCACAGGAAAGATTTCATCTCAGTAAAAAACCATATGCTAAAGCCCCTTGTAAAGTGCGCTGTGAAATTTAAAAGATGAGTAGCCAAAACTTAGTAATGCTGTGAGCTAACCTGTTCTTTGCTTCCTTCTTCTGAAAAATGAGTAGATGACAGATGAACAAATAGGAGGGCAGGTGAGAACCTAACAAGCTAAAACCAAAATTTTCCCCCTTTCTCAAGTAACCAGAACCATATTTTCATCTGCCAAGGACGGAGCATTTCTGTCAGTCTCAGGGAAAAGTGCACCTATGTAAAAGCCCACAGTATCATATGCTTTTTAATTCAGCATTGCTATTATATCTTCAAACACAGATGGGGCACCAAGGAGATATATTTGACGCCTACAATATTTGGAATTCTTTCTGTACATTTATTGTTCTCAAAACTGTAAATATCACAGTATTCAAAACAGTTATATAAAAAAAAACCACCAGTGTATAAATAAAAGTAAGAATTAGGATTCTGTTTTAAGTTTAACTTAGTTTAACTAGAAATACTTACGGAAAGAAATGTCTCGATATTCTCATGGACAAAGGAAGCGATATCTTGCCAGTCTAGAATGTCTCCCAGCCAGCTGTTCTGACGGCTTACATGCATCTTGTGTCCCTTGTGCCTTCCAGAATGTGTTACATTCTATGGAACAAACAGTTTAAACATTAAGCTTCTATCTTTATCTAAAGAATAAAAATTATGTATGTTGGAAAACAAGTAGTCCTTATCACCAAACCTCAATTTCAACAACCCTGAGACCACAAGAATGAGATGCTACCACTGTTAACAAGCTGTTCTGAGAAAAATCCCAATAGAAGGTTCTGAAGACAAATGTAAACTAAAACTCAAAATCACAATAATACATTGAGGTCAATGTAAAAAAAGTGTCATGTTCTATCTATCTTCCCATACTAGGAAGTTAAAGAATAAAGTCTAAAACTGCAAAAAAGAAAAAAGAGCAGCATAAATATTATTTTAGAAAGTGTACATTTTTAGAAATTCTAATTAAATTAGAAATAAAGTTTAAAAGAAAAATGTCCTATTTTGTTTGTAATCCACAATGCAACTTCACTTAAATACTGAAAGGGAGAAATTTCACAATATTTGAAGAAATCAATCAAGAATTCTATTTAAAAATCTAGAATATAGTATTTTTTTACATACTCAAATACTTCCCTTATAAATACAATTATGAATACATTTTATTTCTCAATATAATATATATCTAATACTTTAATATAACATTTAATTCCTTTGCTGCTTACTGGCTTCTCCACCTTTCCATTCTTTCTCCCCCATTCCTTAATTCCTTAAATCATTCCTACCCAACATAAAGAAAGTAAGGATAGAGAAAAATATATTTTAAAAAATCAAGAATAAGGAGAAGAACATTATACTCTACAAAAGTCCAGAAGTGCATCATACTGGCAGAATGCAGGGACAGCTAACAGTTATGATTATAAGAAGTGATGGCTAGGGTTAAAGTGTAGAAATAAAATCTTAACATCTCTGCAAGTATTTCTATGTTCCCATTTCTGTTAATAGTGACATTAATCTCCACTGTTCAGTGTAAAAATACATTAGGTGTGTGGCTAAAAGTTTACTCAAAATGGCTTTCCTAACCATTGCCTGACTTTGCCATGTGGACAGGCGGGAAAATGTGAATAGGGTATGTTAGCCTATCCACAATGGGACTGGCTATCTCACCAATCCACAAGGGGATTGACTAGTCTCATCATGAAACTGAATGTCGAAGGAAGTTCGTCCACCAGCAGAGAACCAGAGAATGCAACTCCTCCTTCAGGACACCAGACGAGGTGGGCCCACGGGAGCAGCAGCCACAGCAGCCAGAGTGGAGAACCAGAGGCCTGAGATGAGCTGGGACCTACATACTGCTACACCACTGAACCAGAAATAAGAGTCTTTCACCCAAGCTTGTTGGAGGACTAGGGAGGGGAGAGCCAATACTGGCAGGTCTAAGAACTTTGTAACACTGGCCTAAAACCACAAGGATCAAGGCTGAAGTCTGAGGTGCCTGCAAACATGTTTCAGAAGCTCTCCTCACTGTATTGTGCTACTAATCTGGGGATAACTTTTCAAAACTATTTTTTTTTTACTTGTTGAAAATGATGATTTTTTTCCCATCATAAATTATGAATTAAGATTTCATAATCACAAGTAGCACACAAGGCTGACTTAAAATAACTGTAATGGATTAAATTATGTCTCCTAAAAAATATGTGTTGTAAATTCTAACCCTTATGCCTGTGGTTAATCTCATTGTGAATGAGTTATCTTGTTACGCTAATGACAGGACTAGTATAGGAAATGTCAAGCTTCATGAAAATCATCGGAAGAGACAAGAATATTCCTCCAGAGGCAAGATAGACAGAAAACCTCCCCTAAGTTGGTACTCTGGCCTCTAACATCCAGCCCCCTAAGTTACGAAAGGATGCATTTCTGTTTGTTAAAGTCAGCCACTTGTGTATTTCTTTTACAGCAGCACTAGATAACTGAGACAGATGTTTAGACTTTTAGATCTTCATTTATTCAAAAAGTAAAATCTGTAATGTCAAGAGCTGTCTTATCCAAAACAGCCACAGGCACTAGACAAACATGGCATGTGAAATGTGGTCAGTTCAAAAACTGAGACATTGTGCTAGTGTTACTAGTAGTTAAACAGATACTACTGTTCTACAGATATCAAATTTTCAATCAGTACTAGGGACACACACACACAGAGGAACATAGGTATATAAAATAATTTTATTAGAAGATAAAATTTTTAATTTATACAGACAAATAAAAACTATTATTTAAGATTAATTTCATCTGATTATGTTTAGCTCTTTAATGTGAATAACAGGAAAATGTATATTGGATATGTGGCTTGCATTCACTTCCCAACACATTAGGAGTGACAAATTCTGCCACTGAAACTAACAACAATTCAAGGTGATGCTCACTGACTGAGATTTAAGATCTAGCTCTTTAGGTAAAATTACAGTATTACTACAATCCTGCATAGTTGTTGAGCATATAAAATAAAGACTTTATTCATTTAAAATTAAAATCTTTAGCTAAAATAACTTACCTTTACAAACCAAGAGTGGTACAATCTGTCCCAAAGTTCTAGCACTTGTTTTTCGATTACAGCTGTATTATTCACTTTATCTCCCAAAATTTTATGAAGCTGGAAGAAATGCAGATATGATCTGGTTCAGTACTTTAGGCAACAATCGGGTAAAATGAACACATACTGGAATCTTTATACTTGTTCCAAATCAAACTAAAATGTTCCAGACTAACTGCTTCTAGCCATGATATGTTTGGGGTTTTCCCCCTTAGATTCTCAGTAAATTTCCTCTTCTTAGTTTTCATGCAATATATATGCAGAACAGATTATTGGGAAGCAGAGCTTTATGAGGAGGTATGTGGCATCAGGATTGGATGAAAATTCATCAACAACCTACATTATGAAGATGACATAACCTTGCTTGCTGAAACTGAAGAAGACCTGAAGTGCTTGCTGCAGAAGGTCAAGGACTACAGTCTTCACTACTGGGCCAATTGGCAGCACCATGATAGATGGAGAAGAGTGGGAAGTTGAAACAATTACAGCTTGCTCGGCTCCAAAATCAACACTCTTGCAACTGACAGTCAGGAAATCAAAAGATGAATTGCATCGGGAAAATCTGCCGTCAGAGAACTCTCCAGAGTGCTGAGCAGCAACAATGTCAGTCTATAGACTAAGGTGCACCTAATCCAGGCCATGGTCTTTGCAATTACTTGCTATGCATCAGAGAGAATAGGGATGACCAAGGATGACAGAAGAAGAATCGATGCCTTCGATTTGTGGTGCTGGAACACACCAAGAACTGCCAAGAAAATAAATAGGTCTCTCTTGGAGAGGGTGAAACCAACTTTCTCCTTGGAGGCTAGGATTCTGAAGGGCTGTCTTACATACTCTGGGCATGTGGCCAGGAGAGACCAGTCCTTGGAGATGGACATCATGCTTGGAAGGGTAGAGGGACAGCACCAGAGAGGAAGATGAGATAGATTGATACAGTTCTATACTGTTCTATACCAAATATTTATTTATACTCTATTAAAATAAAAGTTACTGCCAATGAAAACTCTGCCAAGAGAGAAAGTCAAGGAGGGTCTTCTCTTACCTTATGGGTTATCCATTCTCGTCCATACTGATACACATTGTTAGCTGCAGAATTGAGAGCTCTTTGAACTACCTGAGCCTCAGGAAGCCAACTAATTTAAATAAATAAAACAGAAAAATGTATTTTCATAGTATATTTTATCAAAAGATCTTTTAACATGATAAGAGTTAAGTAACTGATAAAAAAATACTGATCATACATCAATACACAGATACAAATGAATTATGCCCGACTTACATGCCAGCTGATCTAACCAACCCTAACATTGAGAGTTCCCTTTCAAGCTTTCCTGAAGATCCAGATCCTTTCAACTCTCCCTTTCATCTGTTATATCTTCCTTAACATGTCTACCAACACATGTCTTGGGGAATCTACCTAGTTCTCTTTATTGTTAAAGTAAACAGCAAGAAAAGAGGTTTTCAAAATGAGATCAATGGCCTTGCTGCACCAGAACTATTTGGATATCTGTTAGATATGGAAATTCTTAGACCTAAACGAGACCTACTGAATGAGCAACCTGGGATCTGGGACACAGTAGTAACCTGTGCCTTTTAAAGGTTGACCAACTAAAGAATACTAAGTTTTAAGAATTACTGGTGTAAGTAACTAAAGGAGAAAAACCAGAAAATTAAAAAGATGAATAAGTGTTTTTATTTATCCACTGAAGAACTTTTCTTTAAAATATGCAGAGCTCCTCAACAAAGTTCCATCTATTCAAGGAATGTGAGCTATATAGCACTTGTCCTTGAAGCCATGAGAATAGCTTCATTTTCCTAGGAGCTCTGAAGACCTAGTGGTAAGGAGTTGTGTTGCCAATACAAAGGCACCAGCTTCTCAGGAGAAATGCAGGCAAGCCCTTCCCATGCAATTTACTGCATTCTTCTATGAAAATTACAGTAAAATTTATCAAACACTATTTTTATCTCCCAATTCTGAACTAGGTCATCTATCTTTATTCTTGCTCAGTGTTCTTACTTTGCCCACTCTGGGTGGTTTGCTAGGGTTTCATTAATCAAATTACTTGTAACTTCAATCATGTGTACACTCTCTTGATGTACCTGTATTAGAAACAAGAAGAAAAAACAAATTTCAGTAATAAAGAAGTAACTATAATTTAACATTTATTTTCCCAGTTTAAAATAACAATAAATGGTTTTATGTCCAAAAAATCAGATATCATACTTTCAATCAACTTGTAAACATACACTGGACAGGTACTATCTATGATACACATTATGGGAAATAAAAAGTTCATAATGGCTCAAGTGGCTCATAATGGCCTTCAAGAAAAGACAGAGATATACACATATTTTAACAAACATAAATGTATATACAAATTTTATGTATATGTGTGTGTCTATAAAGTAAAATCAATACTATAGGAAATTTCAAAAATATATTGCAAATAAGCAATTGAATGATCTTCTGAGTTAGCCAAATGATATTACATCTTAGAACTTTTCTTGTGCAATAATAAACAAAAGAAAGATGGAAATATAGCCACTACGCCCAAACAAGGAAAAGAGACTACTATCATTTAATATACTTAAGAAAATAACAAGTAAATAAACAAGATACTCTGTGACAGAGAAAAGAGGTATAAATCAGCTAAGGAACCTCCATACTCAGAGGCTGAAGAGGTGAACTAAAGAAAATCAGTGAAATTCCTATGTAACATGCAAATCTAGAGGGCAAGAAGAAGAAATACAGCCATGTTTTCTAAGGAAGAAAACTTCCATGGTAGAGGAAGGGATAAAACAAGAGAACACATTTTATCGCTTTCAATGAGGGCAATAACAGCATAATAATGTGTAAGGAATTGAAGGAAAAAAAAAACAAACACAACAAACTGGGGGTATTCCTGAAAAAAAAAAAAAAGGCATAACTTCCAGGGCTAGTCACCTAAGAAAATCTACAACAGCAAAGAGTGTAGGCCTAGTGGATGAGCAGTTGTGCTGCCCACTTAAATGCTGGCTGCTTCTTGGGAGAAAGATGGCCAATTTCCTCCCATGCAATATAGAGCCTCCACAAATCTAAGCGGAGGGCCAACTATGAGTAGGTTCCAACCCAAAGGCACATAACACCAATTCTAACAAAGACACAGACAAGCATCACTGAGCATCATTCCCACCCTCCTTTAATTCCATCTGGTTCCTACAAAGTAGAGAACACAAAACACAAAATACTATCTGTTAAAATGAAAACAAATTGATTTCAGACAGAGTAGGAAGAGACTTGGGTACTATGCCCAAAAAAGTAAAACTATATAGTCAGATAAACTCTTATAAGGGATCTTAAAATGTTAAGGAAATCATTGAGATTTTTAAGCTTAAAAGAAACATAATCCATACTAAATTTTTAAAAGATCACTGAAGATGCTATGCTACAACAACATTGTATGAGGCAAAAGATAAAGCATTTAGATCAGTCAGGAAGATTACGGCAATATTTCAAGTAAGAGGTGGTGGTAGCCTAGCAAATAAGACATGATTAGAAACATCTTACATCAATCAATAATTGGGAATTAAATAAAATTTGAATTGCTGAAATAAATGTCACAGGGTTACGGTCATTATAGTTATTACATATTGTTAGATCTAATGTTAATGTATTTTTGTGTGTACATTTTTTGAAGGTAATAGAACAGCAGTCTCCTTTTCTTGAAAGTTTTTATTATTATCTGTTCAACACTTGCCTCAAAAAACAAGTTGGGAAATGTTGCTTTTCCTCTATTCTCTGAAAGGTTGTATAGTCAGGCATTATTTCTATAAAGTTTGATAAAATTAAATCAATAAAGCCATTTGAAACTGACCTCTTCTCTGTGAAAAGATTTCCTATATTAAGTCAATTTTGTTTCTTAATTATCAAAATATTCTATTTCAACCAGAGTTAATTCTATTTACTAAAATGGAAAATGGTCTGGGGTATAGTCTCTGATATACATTTGTGCTAATGTGTGTCAGGGCTGGTCCTTTCTCCATACCTACTTACTATGTATGCTGAGCAAAATATTCCAGAAACTAGACCAGGTGAAGAAGAATGTGGCAACCTACGTTATGCAGACGACACAATCTTGCTTGCTGAAAGTAAAGATGACTTGAAATACTTGCTGCAGAAAATCAAAGACTAAAATCTCAACATCAAGAAAACAAAAATCCTCACCACTGGACCAATGAGAAATCCTACGACAGATGGAGAAAAGATTGACGTTGTCAATGATTTCATCTTACTTGGATCCACAATCAACACCTTTGGTAGCAGCAGTCAAGAAATCAAAAGATGTATTACATTGGGAAAAATCTGCTCTCAAGCACCTCTCCAAAGCACTAAAGAGCAATAATGTTAGTTTGAACTAAAGGTGTGCTGGATCCAGGTCATGGTCTATTTAATTACTTGCTATGTACCACTGGACCAATTGGCAGCGTCAAGATGGATGACGAAGAGATTGAGATTGTTCACAGCTTCAGTTTGCTCGGCTCCACAGTCAACACTCTTGGCACCAGCAGTCAGGAAATCAAAAAGCGTATCGCGATGGGAAAGTCTGCTGTTAGGGACCTCTCTAAAGTACTCAGGAGCAACAGTGTCTCTCTGGAGACTAAGGTGCGCCTGATACAGGCCATGGTATTTGCAATCGCTTGTTATGCATCAGAGAGTTGGACAATGACTAGGGAGGACAGAAGGAGAGTGGATGCTTTTGAGCTGTGGTGCTGGAGAAGGGCACTGAATGTACCATGGACTGTCAGGAAAACAAACAGATTCATCTTGGAGAGGATTAAACCAAGCTACTCCTTGGAGACAAGGATTCTGGGGCTTCGTCTGACATACTTTGGACATGTTGCCAGGAGGGATGGGTCCTTGGAGAGGGACATCATGCTTGGGAGGTTGGAGGGACAGCACAGGAGGGGAAGACCCTCTATGAGATGGATTAATTCAGTGACTGGGGTATTCGGGATGGGTGTGTCAGAGGCGGTACGGTTGGCGCAGGATAGAGCAGGTTTTAGGGCTGTTGTGCATAGGGTCACTATGAGTCGCAAACGACTCGACGGCACATAACAAACAACAATGTATCTGAAAGCTGGATAAAGAATAAAAATGACAGAAGAAAAAGCAGTGTCAGTAGGGTGTTGGAGAGCAGTACTTAATATCTCATGGACTGCCAAGGAAACAAATGCACCTTAGAAAATGTAAAACCAGAGTGTTTCTTATAGGCAAAGACGGTGAAAATTTCTTTCATGTATTTTGGGCATGCTGCTAGAAAAGGCCAGTTCTTGAAGAAAGGCCTCATGCTTAGAAAGGTGGCAGGTCAGTGAAAGAGAAGACCTTTATTGAGATCAATCAACACAGTGACTATCAACAGACTCAAGTATGTCAGAGATAGTGAAGATGGCACAAGGTAGGGCAGGGTTCAGAACTATCATTCACAGAGTCACTGTGAGTCATGGTTGACCTAACTACAATTACAAATCCAAGCAGATACTACCACAAACATTTGGTGGGTGGTTTCGATATTGAGTGAGAGAAATTAATTATAAGGAACAAACAATGTTTGTTTGCTCTTGCTGCATGAGTTTTAGAAATGGTTCAAAATAATGAAATTTATGAAAATTCAAGGAAATAAAAACTTGCTGAGTTATAGAGTGAATAAAAAAAAGAACTTAAAAATAATTAAAATAAGCATATAAAGAGGCCTTAAGCCAAGGGACAAAGAAAAGTAGGATGGAGAAAAAGCAGAAGAGGGACAAGAAAGGGGAGACTGGAGGATGGAAGACCACACTGGTGGTCTCTAAGGCCTGGCAGGATAGAGCAGGGTTTAGGGCTGTTGTACATAGGGTCAATATGAGTCACAACGACTCGACAGCACATAACAACAACAACAACATTATATATTAGATTATTAGTAAGTTATCTTTAATATTCTACAAAGAATATTTGTATTGATGATTTCACATAGAAATCACAAGTCCTTAATAATAACACACCAAGAGTTGACATAACTCACAAATTCAGTGGAACTCAGAGAAAAAAAGGTTAAGATACACTACAAGAAGCAATAAGTGTTATCACTAAACAGAAAAATATTAACTGTATTTGGAAAAAAAGCATTATTGCCTTTGATGAGATAAAGGGGGAGAAAGAAATGCATGTGGAAAGGGAGAAATAAAGATCTTAGGGGATAGGATTTGGGTTCAAGGTGTGAAGGTTTGGGGTCATGGTTTAATGGGGACATACTAGTTAACCAGCCTAATACTGTGTTTCATGTTTCTGTTCTAACTCCAAGCTCATTCCGTAGTGCCTGGTGTCTTAAAAGCTTGCAACATACAACTGACACTCCTTGAATAACAGAGGAAAAAGGAAAATGAGGAATAGGAGGAGGAATGTACTGTCTGATTTCCACCATAAACAATTACCTCCTTTGCCAAGACAGCAGAATTAAGATGGTACCTGGTAACCATTACTAAATATTTTGATCAAAAATTCCATAGGAAAATTCTGATCAAAGAAAAAAAAAAAAGAATCCTGACCAAAAATGATATAATGCAGAACAGAATTTCAAATTCTCATGGACTCTCAGACTCAGTGGAGTCATGAAGCCTGAATAAATTCCTAAAATGAATGCCCTGGGATAATTATTAACTATTAAAAAAAATACCATCTTTGAGCATTATGCTCCCTTTATATAACATTAACTTGACAGATTTTATAGAGATCTTAGGGGTGGTAAATTTATGTTACTAAGAGAAAAACAACTCAGAAAGGGAAGTGAGAAGACTGTGTCACTCAGAGAGTGTGACCAATTCCACTGAACATTCACAGAAAGGGCTAAATTGGTATGTTTTCTTATGTATCTTCTCAACAACAAAATACAATCTTATGATAGATCAACATGATCTGGTCATGGACACTGGTCATGGCCAATTGATGGCCTACTGGCAAGATGCTGTGTTGCAATATCAAAGGCATGTGGTTTGAGTTTACCAGCTGCTCCAAGGGAGAAAGACAGGCAATCTCCTCCCATATGATTAACTGGCTCTGAAAACCGCCAGAGGGTCGGTCAGCTATGGGTTGGTTCCAACTCGATGGTAAACAACAACATGGCAGATCAACAAAAAGACCAATGAGACAGTAGGAAATTATGTTAGTCAAGAAATGAAAGACAACAAAAGCCAAAAACATAAGGAAGAAAAACACTGATCCAGTGAACTGGAATGATAATTAGAAGACTAGATTATAAGTCTCTCACTGAGAGGAAAAAGTCTTATTATTTGCTATTTTCTTTTTTAAAAAATAAAATTATT